AAAAAAAAATTGTAAAGGGAAACAAACTTATCTGTCGGTTGAAGCAAAGAATGTTGTCTGTTAATACACGTCATGGTTCTAAGTACTGAACCGGTAGAACACTGAAAGTTCGGACTGAAACTCCCGCCGTTGACGGACGAACCAAACTGACACGGACTGGGAGGACGAAGAAGAAAATGACACACAGGTGGGATACATGAGGGGAGGGGCGAATACTCAGACCGGAAGTGGAACCAGAGGAAGAGAGGAAGTGTGTGACCTGGAAAAAAAGGGGGGAAAGTTACTAAATAAATAAAATAAAACAAACAAAAAACGATTAATTAACTCACTGAGAGAATTCACAGAGGCAAACATGTTGACTGAACGTGAATTTATTAGTCCTGACCAGAGTTGTGAAGGAAGGTGTGTCACCGCACCCCGTTCCCGATGACGCTGTTTTGTTTTTGTTTGTTTTTTGTTTTGTTTTTTGACTAATGACCAAATGACAACAGAGCAGACCACATCTGTCACGGAGGACGAAAACCACCACAGAGAACGTTCACACCGTGGATTCAAATGACCAAACAAGGACTAATATAAGTGAGAACAGATCGAGGCAGAGATGTTCTCCCTCTCCCCCACTCTCCCTCCCTCTCTCTATGTGTGTGTCTGCGCTCTGTACAAACACCTCATCTCTGCAGCTGTGACAGGTATAAACCAGATTTCGGCTTGTTAATCTGAAAACAACAGTAAAATATGCTGTAATACTTCAATATTATATAAAAACTAATGGAATTAATGTCAGAAATTTTTTAATTAATTTGTCATATTTACGTAACAATGCCTCTTTATCCAATTAGGATTTTTATATTGAATTAATTACTAAATTAACTTTTTAATTTTGCTGTCTTACTGCCAGCATGTATATAGTTCATAGTTGTTGTTTTGTTGTTTTTATTTTGGGTTTTCTTTACAACTATCCTTGTACTTTTAAAAGTTTCACTAAAGTGTTTTAAATCATTGTTTCTCAACTTTTTTTTTTTTTTGGCCGTGGCGCATATATAATATCAGGAAAAACTTTGTGAAAATCTCACAAAATGTATATGTAATGAAATATAATAATATTCAAGTTTCTATTTACTAAAAATGCACTCCTGTTTAGTTGAAGACAATGCTAATATACTGGCAGGAATTGAAGAAAGACACTCACAAAGATCTAAAACAGCTCTAATTATGGTTTTTATTTTTGTTTGTTTTTTATAGCCATCCGCTGCCACCTAGCAGAAGAGTATTTAATTGTTCTGCCTATCACACATTGACGAACCAAAAAAAATTCAATAAATGTTGTCGTTTTAATTGTTCTGCCTGTCACACATTGACGAACCAAACAAAATTCAATAAATGTTGTCGTCACATCAGGTTAAATATTAAGGTTTAACATTAAACAACCGACCTTTTGCAGTAAATAAAAACCCTGTAATCCTGGTTAAAAGAATGCAAAATGAAAAATAATAATAACTGAACCCCTAATATCAAAATGTCCTCATCAGCATTTGATGAAAACCAAGACAAATACAATATATAAGACATATTTTATTCATATTTTTCACAGCAGCGCAAAGGCAAATGTAGATAGATGTACATTTAAGCATTTAAAAAATGCATAAATCATATAGTGCAATAACCAGGTGTGCGTTTTATGCAAAAATTAAAAATGTACAAAAAATCAGACAAACCATTCCAAATAATTTAATTATGTTAGAAATGCAAGGCTAAATAATACAAAAAATACAATTACTTGAATGAATTCATATATGTAGAAAAACATACATACACTGCACAGGTGTGGACAGTGAGAGGCTGTAGTTAGAATGTCAACTGCTTGGACTGGAACTAAAACTGGCACAGACTCAACAGTGTAAACAGTTAAAATAGACTTGAATGTTTCTGAAGATGGAAGAAGATAAATGTAGAAACCATTTAGAAACAGAAATGAAAACACAAAATTTACAATTCTTACAGAAATCACCTTGGCAGAGTGGAACCGTCAGAAACAAAAAAAAAAAACAAAAAAAAACGTCAGGTCAGTTGGAGTAAGAGAAAGCTTATAAATTGAAGGTATTATTTTCTGTTTTCTCTTGAAAATGTATCAGAGCCGTCCCTGTGGTTTTAGGGTTAGGGTTTGGGTTCTCCGTGATGTTGACTTATGACGTCCAGTCTAATTTAATTCAGTGCAGATGTGAAGGTAAGTTGTTGGTAAAATGGAACAAAGTACAATTTCCATACCGTCGTCTTCTCTCCACCTCATCTGTGACTCCATCAAAGGTCTCAGCGCGTCGTGATGTCTGTTTGTGATTTATCACACTGTTTGTCCAGGTGTGGTTTTTTTTAAAACAGTTTTAAAACAGATTTAAAAACAGTTAAGGATGCGAGGTAAGGACCCTCTGGAGAGGTAGAGCATTGGCTGAACGGTGCTGCTGAAGTCCATCACGCCAAAGGCTCCGTAGTGGACTTGGCAGCGAAACACATCAGGAGAGAAGTAGTCCTGAAAGGGAAACAGCACCACAGGTGGACAATAATGGAACACTATGATGGCCAGGATGATGAGCACCATTTTGAAGGCTCTCTTCTTCACGGGGTGCATCTCGTCTCGGCCCGGCCCAGACTGCCGCAGGGCCCACAGGATGGCGATGTTGCAGAAGACCATGAAGGCAAACGGTCCGAGGATCATGCCCATGTAGACCTTGGCGGCGCTGGGAATGATTTTTGCGCAAGAAGCAATGGAATAGCCCAGAATGATGACCCAGACCACGCCGGCCAAGACCGCTCTGTACTGGCGGTCCTTCAGCCTGGTGAAGGCGATTGGATGCAGTACAGCTATATAGCGGTCCAGGCAGATGCAGGCCAGGACCAGAGGTGAGGTGTCTTTGATTCCGTAGAAGAAGCGAAGGATGTACGGTACGGTGCTGCTGGTGATGAAGAGTATGTCGACGATTTCGAAAGAGAGGCTGAGGCAGAAGAGGAGGTCCAGCACCGCCAGTTGGAAAATGAAGATACCAGAGTTGGACGAGTCGCCCTTGTTCTTGTAGACCAACCACAGCACAGTGATGTTGGCCGGGACGCCCAGACACATGTTGATGAACTGCATGGTCATGTACCAAATGATGGTTGCAGGCATGTGAATACAACCTTCAAACCTGGTCTTCTGTATGACACTGTCGTTTTCAGGTTGGACTGTTGTGAAGAGCTCAGAGATGTTGTGGTTAAACTGCTCCATGGTTGATGATTATTGGTCAGCGGGAGATAATCTGTTAATCACACACACCAGGATCTGCTGTTGGAGACAAAAAACAAAGATCTATCAGACCGACTGTCCAAAAGTGTATTATTTTACTTCAACTTAAGTCTCAAAAGTATCACTCATTTCTCTAAATCTTATTGAGCAACAAATAACAATTAACCCAATTTATATTTTAAGCCGATTTTCAATTAGTGTTGTTGAATAATCATTCTGTTGTGTTTCTGTCATGTGTTTTGAGCTTATGGTTATGTTTTAGTTCACAATTTGATTAATGGGGCTTTTATTTTGCTGATGACCACGGAGTTTCTCCGTAGTAAATAAGTGACAGCGAGTTAGAGAGACGGAATAAAGATTGTTTGTATCAACCAAGTAGCTCTTTGTATTACTAAGTGCCCTCGAAGTAGCTCTCAGTTTCATAAAGGTCGGTGACCCCTGTGCTACATGGAGTGTCTCAAAGAGGAAGCTGTGTGGTGGTATTTAATCTTAATTCATCAAAAAAAGAAACAAAGGTGACGAGACGAAAAGTTGCGGAACTCTGGTAGTAACGTATTAAAGTAAAGTTCAGAACTAAAAATGTTCCTATTGATGCCCCAAAAAATCTCGCCCTCGCCTTATCAGAAAAAAATAATTTGGTGCGATTAATAGATTTCCAATGTTTCCACTAAACCTCATTGGTAAAAATTAAATTATTGTTTTAATGTTACAGTCAATGGGGGAAATAAATAATAATAATATAAATACTTTAGTGCCTTTTTACTGTAATGAAATCAATATACATATATATAAATTTACCTATTCCGAAACTACTGAAAAAATTACAAATTAATCACAAAAACGACTCAATTATAGTAATGTGAGTAAATGTAATTTATCATTTTCCACCTAGAGTATCGTAAATGTTTGCGGTAATATTTACTACAATCCACTCCAGAGTTCTTTTTACTTTTCTTCTTGAAAATGATGTCTTCATTTTCTTCACCTTTGTCTTTTTCCTAACTTTATTCACTCCCGTCTCTCCTAACTTCCTACCACCTCATATCACACCCTCTGGTGCAGTTTGCTCAACAACACCACAGTCGTTGTTTATCAGGGCTGTGGCCAATCTGCTATGGAAGTCAGAATGTTGTAGTACAAATTTTATAAAACAAATTGTGAAATTAAGAGTGGTTGCAATTCTGTGGCAAGAATAAAAATAATCAGCAGGTCACCACCTGCGTCTTTGCAACATCTAAGAGCTAAATGTTGAGTTTCAGCAAGAAACTGCAACTTTCACCAATTTATATTTATATTTGTATTTATCCAAAATACAACTGTGAACACACCGACTTTTTTTTTTTATTTTACCAAAAAAATAGAAAGAGTTACTAAAAAGGGGGAACTGAGACATTTACAGTTATATAAATAGACCTACATTGGTCCGTTAATAAAATAAATATAATCTTTTCTGTAAAGAGTAAATAAGTAAATAAGCTTATATTTTCTATGTTATAATAACCAATTTAAAAGAAACAGAAAAAAATACTTACAAAAATGTCTGTTGTTTTTAGTTTGATGGAGTCTGTCACAGTAGCAGTGATTTGAAATATCAGAACCTAAAAAAAAAAAATCATCAGTCAGATTGTATTATTCAGCCAACAGTAATTTCACAGAATAATTCTAATCTAGTTTTCTGGAATTTAACAAAAATCAACAAAAGACCAAACACATGGCATCAAATCATTATAATTATAAAACTACAAAAAAAAGTTAAAAATAAAAAAAAAAGTGTGAGATATGTGTCCTATGTTGTCCTGAAATCTGAGGACAGCAGAAGTGTTTCTTACCTTGGAGTCCTCCCTGAATGAATTCCTCAGCCCTCAGACTTCTTTAATATTGTTGACTCATTTCCGATGCATCAGCCCAGTTCCTTTTTCTTGAAGCCCTGTCCGTGGCATATCTTGCAACTGAGGGTTTGCCTGACCTGCCTACAGTCAGGGCACCATGCATGCAAACATGCCAGTGACCACAAATACAAATTTTTTACAGAGACTAAGATCCAGTGGTGAGGAGGACGCTGTACTGTAACGCCACTGCGGGTTTCACAAAAACAACTGTCAAAGTCGGTCCCAGCGTGCTGATCGGGTTGAAATAATAAAAGTATTTTTTAAATTAAATTAAATAATAATGAAAGTATCCATAAACTTTAAGAAATTTTATGGATGCGCTCATTCAAACACTCTCATTAAAACCTTGTAGAGTGTTATTTTAAATGAGTGTGTGTGTTAAATAAACAGAAGTATCTGGTACAACCCAGCCTCCGTGTCAACGTTTTAGGCCCTGATTCCACAGATGTTCCTGTTTTGTTTTGTTTGTTCCTCACCTGTGTTTTCAGGTCTGGTACTTTCTGCCCTCCTGAGTTTTCCACCTCTGTGTCTCCCCTGTGTATCGTTATCGCCCCGTCCCACACCTGGATAGATGGAGATAGATAGTTAGAACTTTATTAATCCCTCAGGAGATCCCTTCGGGAAATTAAGGTGTAAATATTCCCTGTTCTCCAATGTTCCTAATTTCTCCAGGTTCATTAAAAACTTTTTTTGTGTGTTTTGTGGCAGTTCACTTACTGTACAAACTCCTGTTCTTGTTCCTGTATGTGTGGCCATAATGAGAATTAAGAAGACCATAACTTTATTCCTTTTTCTCTGTCAATGTGTGATAAATGTCATTAAAGGCCTTTTTCAAACCTGAGATGTTTCTGGAAAGACTGTTTGTAAGCAATATTCTATAGGGCATAGGCATGATGTGACGTGTTAGCCGATGTGTAAAGCTTTGGGTGAAAAATGTGTTCATTTCAATTGGTAAAAATTAAATCTAACCTGATAAAGTGACCAATATACAGAGCAAAGGTTTCCACACAGAGCCATCGATGCTCTGAGCAGACAGTCTCCATTTTTCTCACGTCATACTACTCGCAGGAGAGCTAATTAGCGTAGGCGCTAAAACGGCTAACGGGAGCTAACACACTTCATTTTTGCTGTGTCAGAGCGTGACCATCCTTCTAATTTGCAACAAATTACATTTTGAAATGAGGGAAATGGTCAACGAGTTTCCACACAACAAATATGAGCAGTCAGCTTCGGGATTTATCCATGACAAAGGAGAAGTACTACTCACATTTCAAAAGAACGGACTTAGCACCAGCAGCTAGCACGACGGCTAAAACAAAAGTGGAGCGCGAATGTTTCTACTTAATATATTTCATTTTACTACCGTACTGTAATTTACAGTCTTGATTTCTGTTAAGCTTTCAGACAGTTCATTGTACTTGGATTTTTATAAATATGGGTTTTTTGTGTCTTATGTGACAGTCAGACTTCAACCTGTATTGTAACTGTTAGCAACTAAAATTCAATTTAATTTCTTATCACCAGGATTACATACATAAAACAACATAAAATATTTTAAAATCTGGATCTTAACTGTAGCGACGTTCATATGAAGTTTATATTTCCAAAATAAAAATGAATAACATATATCGTTTACCATTTATTGTAATCAAACCAGTCACTTCAAAAAACATCACATCCTGTGTCTTTATTTTTTTAATCTTTACTTGACAGGTCTTTCTGTGGTTTTAGCTCTTTGACCATCGTTGTTATTTTTACTTTTTGCATCAGCCACTTCCTTCAGTGAATATGGGACTTTTTGCTTTTGTCTCTGTTGTTTGTTGTTGTTTATTTGTTCCTGCTGTTAGCACAGGAATCACGATGAAGTCTTGTTCCTGCTGTTAGCACAGGAATCACAATGAAGTCATAAATAAAAAGGAATAAAACAGTCACCAGATAGAACTGGAACATTTAGTATCAACATCACATTATTCTGAACATTTAAGAGTGTAAATAATTTTTTTTTTTTTAAAAACCCACTGCATTTCACTCTGTTACAGTGATCTGAGTTTGATCAACTGCTCTATTTCCACAGACCGTGACCATCGACTTTGAATTTCTGTTGAAATTTGATTCGTGTGCGTGTGTGTATGTTGTGACAAGAATGGAACATCCTGTTCTTTAAACATGGGGAAAACTCCCACATCTACCTGTGATAAACCATCGATGGAAATTTTTTATAAATAGAAATTTTCTGTTAGCATGTATGAAGACTACATTTTCATTTTGGATTTTTTTCATTTTTTAGGGAGATCCTTTGGTTAGGACAGATTTTTTTTTTGTCATCGGTTGTAATTTTGAGCTTTTTTTTTTTAGCCTTAACAATAATTTTATTTTTTACTTGTCATATTTTTAATTATTGTTTGGGTTCCCTCAAAGTTTTTCCTGGCTAACGCTCAGACTTCACATGTTTGTTTTAGCTTCTCTTTTTGGTTCACATTTAGCAAGTTTGTAGCTTTAGCTTGTAGCAAGTATTAGCTTCTGTGCCTTGCTTCTACCATCTTTGCTATAGCATTAAATAACGTAATGCTATTTCTACCAAAAACCAGTAGTATATTTTAAAATAATATCAAACTTAAATATATTTTTGATCTTTTTTTCTAGCTTTCTTAATCTGGCTGAATTTCATAACTTTAGGAGAATGCACATTGTTCTTTGTCACTAATCGAGCTAACGTTAGGCCTTGGTGTGATGTGTGTTTTGACAGAAAATGTTTCATTTTGTAATGGAAGAACCTCACACCTTTCATTAACACTTCATGCTAAAGGTGTGAAGAACCACTACCACTGCCCAGTGTTTACTTCCATTTTACGATGTAATTTAGATACTGCGAAGATGAAACTGCTTATTTCTCATGTCTACAGCGACAGAGATTCAACAGATGATAAGATATATTATTTTATACTTATACTAATATTTATATTTATATTTATACTAGACACTGAAAGTATTTTGAGCAAGCCCATACATATATGTACTCTGGTGAAATTTTAAATATTAACTAAATATAAACAATTGTTGTTGCACGTATTTACAAAGCCACATAGCAACCATCGTCTCATTTTCATACCACATTCAAATACTCTATTTTGGTGTAAATGTAAAAAAATATTTTTTTTTTTTAGAAAAACAATAGGGTGACAAATTAATTAGAACATCTGAGTCACGGGGGAAAAAAAATACTGAACACACAAAAAATCCACTCCCACACAGTAGATAAACATAAATATATTTATAATGCTAAGCTAATACAACATTTATTAAATACGTATAAGAGGAGAGAACCATCTGGATGTTATTATGAAACTGTGTTTACCTTTGACATCCTTAGGATCATGGTGAAAAAAAGGAAAGTTACTTCTCAGAGAGAAATTTTAAGTGACAGTGAATACAAAGTTAGAATTTGCCTGTTTAACAAAACGACGTTTTTTTTAGGTGCTGGGGAGTTTTACTACTTCTTCTTTGTTTGCTTCATGTTGTGGTTTCTGCAGTAACAGCACCATTTTTGTGCAATGACCACTGGTGTTAAATTTATCTTTTTGCTGCACTATTTCTTTTAAATGTTCGAGGCAAAAAGAGGAAGTGAATAATGAAGTGTTTTTCTGAATTGTTTTTTGAATTTGGTAACGTGGGGAAACACACCTCTGTGGCATTTTTAATGGACTTCACAGATGATGTGTCATCAATTCTGAAATCCATGGATACATTTCACTTCCTAAAACCCAGGTGTGTCAGTGACCTACAGTCCCCTCCAAAAGTATTGGAACGGCAAGGTCAATTCCTTTGTTTTTGTTGTATGCTGAAGACGTTTGGGTTTCAGATCAAAAGATGAATATGAGACAAAAGTTAAGAATTCCAGATTTTATTTCATGGTATTGACATGAAATAAAAGCACCTTCTCTTCCAGATTTTATTTCATGGTATTGACATCTAGAGTTTGTTAAACAACTGAGGACTGAGCACCTTCTCTTTGAACCCACCCACTTTTCAATTGAGCAAAAGTATTGGAACATGTAACCGATGGGTGTTTCTCGTTGCTCAGGTGTTGCCTTTTAGATTGATTGCTGAAACATTAAATAGTTCTTTTTTTTGGCTTTAGGTTTCACCTGTGAAAACTGTATTTGGACCCTGATAAAATACTATAAAAAATATAGTAAAGCAATTTTGTAATAACTTTTCAAATACAGAGACATTATGGTTTGGCATTTTTAGCACAAATTTGACATTTTCCTCTGCCAAAATATTGATGTTTTATTTATTGTTTTACAAAATGGCCAAAGTTTAATTGTCTTTCAGTCAAACTTATTATAAACGCCATCAACTATGTTCCTAACTTTTCATTCTCACACCGATATGTTGATATTTAAAAGATTAATATTTTAATTGACAGAATCCTGGAACTTAAATACCATGAAAGTGAAGACGGTGTCCTTAAAGCGGTCATAGTTTTATTAACATATTATATGGCGGTTAGGTCACACGTGATAGAGAGCTTTTCAGTTGTTTTTGTTTTGTTTTTGTTTTTTGTTTTCAAATACTCCCAGATTCGATCCCTCTGCGATCTTCACTCTTAGCTCTCAGTGATTCACTTCCTTTTTCTTTACCTACAACACAGAGTGTGACGGTGGATTAAATCATTTCAATGACTCACACCTGACACACGGAAGTGACGAACGTAACTAAGCCCCGCCCATTTATTATGGTTGTGACGTTTGCTGTGCCGCAGGATGAGCACATCTGGTTTGGTCAAGCCTGGATTTTCCTCTTTGCTTACCCAGAGTTTCTTAATTCTGCTTTTGAGACACAGGCCTCTCTTCTACTTCCTGGTCTTCTTTTAGAACCAGATGAGGTTTTTCTTTTTCCCGCACTTTTATTAACGGTCATTGGCCGCAGCTCAGTCTGTCCATCTGCCGTCCATCTGTCGGCAGATGGACAGAGCAGCGTGAGCTGGGTTCTGAACAAGATGGACAGAGCAGCGTGAGCTGGGTTCATGGAGTGGTCATGGAGTTCAGTTTTACTGGACTGACTCACATGTTTTAGGATAAAAAAGATTAAATTATATTTTTTTAAAAAGAAAATCGATGGTATATACAAGTTGGGAAATAAGTATTCAACTTGAGGTTGAATTTTATTAAGAAATGGGAATGTAAAGATACATCGTGAATCGGTTAGAAATCGATACAAATGCGAGGCAACTGGCATCGGTTGAAATACAATTTTTTTAAAAATCGCGCATAGATTAAGTCAGTGTTCATACCGACACACTCGTACAGCAGGTGGCGGTATGCGCTTAAAAACATTATGTGAGACCGGTATAAATGTGACCTTTTCTTTTTTTTGACACTTTTTTTTTATGTCAGTTGATGAGGTTCACAGACCATTCCAGTCAGTGATGGTAACTAACCTCTAACCTTAGCTAACCACAGTCTACGGTGTATCTCCTAACTACCACCTTTTGATAAATCAAGCAAATTTTTTGCTAACGGTATTTATCTTGAAATGACTTGCAGTTATTTATGACTTCTTTAAAGGAAACTTTTCCATATGAAGTAATATTTCCAGAGTATGTGACTCAAAGCTCCTGCTAATGTCTGACTGTATTTGGTGAGAACTTATTTGGACCTAATTTTTGTTTGGAAGTAACCGCTATAAAAATCACATCATGAACCAAAAAGTCGTGAATCATATTGTATCTCTCTCAAGAATTATGAAACACAAACAGTCAATGATTCTTAGTTATGTGTATTTCTTTTTTTTTTTTACATTTCATTAGATATTTCTGGCAAGAGTTTCACTCACATGTCGTAGTTTGAGCAGCAAAAGAAGTCAACACGTGAGACACAAACATCAAGAGTGTAGAAAACTAGGTTCTGTGCACAAATCCCACAACAAAGCTACATTAAGGTTTCCGTCTACCACCACCCACTCACTAAATATTTACATGTAAACCTGTGGGTGTATCCATGCGGGTTTTTTTAGTCTAAGGTTAAAGGTTTTCAACAGATTTAATTTCTGTCATCCACTAAATGCACCATTTATTTCGGTTTTTTTTCCAACATCAGAAAGTCTGAGACAAGTTCACTTTCCAACATGCTCTTCTTTCTCTTCTCTGTTCAACATGCAAACTTCCCTTTTCTCTTCCACGTCTGTCTGCCTTCGTCAAAACTCTGCTCTCCATCCTACTGTCATACAGTAAGATCTGCTGCAGCTCTGCTGTGTGTTTTTTCACATTGAAACAGTCAAAAACATTCATTTGAAGGGAGGAGAATAGGAAAAATTATATTTTTCATTTAGCTACTACTAGGAGCTGAAGTAAATACCCGCAGTCACCAGAAGAGGGCGGTGTCAGCAGAAGCTGGACTGTTCTCCAGTCCATCACGTAGCTATTTATGCTAGTTATGTTTACGCAGCTGAGATGCGATTACAGAGCGATCTTGTCCCGTTCACACGGACCTGGCACAAGAAAATTCAGCCACTCCAACCCCTGTAATACATATGCCAGTCCTGTATGTGGCGCTGTCGCCCCCGCTCTTACATGCCAGCACCAGAAGAATGGTGTTCTGCATTAACCGTTGCTGCTCAGAATGTTAGTGCAAAAGTGTAATAATTAGCTGTAGCACACCATGTAGCCAAATTAGCACGCTCACATGTAGCCTGGCAGCCGCCATTGTTCTTATTGTGTGGCGTTGAACAGGGCTGACTGGGGTAAAAGGTCGCAGAGAGGCGGGGCTGATCGAGCCAGAGAGTTTTTCAACTTTGTTATTTTGGGACCCATATTCAAAGGTCACAGAGGTCACTGCCCCGATAGAATTCGTCTAAACTAAAGGCCGAAACGATGCTACCGCTCCGCGAGTCGTACTCGTATCCAGCCGCGTAAACAACACCTTAATGACACACAACCATTCACACCCACATTCACACCTACGGGCGATTTGGAGTGAACAATTAACCTAACCCTGTGTGTTTTGGTGCTGTGGGAGAAAACCAAGTACCAGGAGAAAACACACACACACACACGCGCGAGCAGGACAAACCACCAGGGATTGAACCTGTGATTTTCTCACTATAAGGCAAGAGCATTAACCATTCTTTACCACGTGGGCAAAAAAAAAAAAAAACTTTTCCCCCATCACCCTGTTTCCACCTGGGATGAAGACATTTTAGGTGCTGAAAAGAAAAGTGAGGAAAACAGTTTGTTTTGACAGGAGTGATGAAGACGACGGGGAGTGTGAAGGCATCGAGTCAAAGAGCCTCTCTGACTCTGAGGTAAAGTCACGGGGGAGTGTTCCCTTGTAGGTAGTGCATGCTGTTGTTTGGGGTGTTGGGGTGACACGTTGCAGTCTGTGGTGGATTATTTTGTTTTTGTTTTTTTTGCGGTGTCTCGTGGCCAATAGTTTGCCACAACGAGTCAATATCAGTTTGTGTGTTTTCTCCAGACCAGCGCTGAGAACATCACTGTCAGATGAAGGTGGAGTCCATGGTGCTGGAGTCCTGAGCGCTGTGAGCTCGGGCCTCGAAAAGCTGTTTAATCAAAGCTGATTTCTCCTGCTCCAGCTGAGCGATGCGCTCGCTCTTCTCCGTCACCTCCTGTGGAAAACAAGAGGTCAGTCCCAGCCCACGTACTAAAATACGACCGCAACCTGGCTATTTCTGTCTACATGTGATTTTGAGGATGAGGTCAGACCTGAGTGAGGAGGCGATTCTGCTCCTTCAGCCTCTGAATGGCCTGTGGAGGAGCTGCAGGCTGGGAGCTGACCGACAGGTTGGCGGTTTGAGCCCCACTCGAAGGAAATGGCTATTGAGACACAAAGAGAGAAAAAAGGAAGGAGGTAAAATCCAAACCTAAATTTACTCTGTTCAGCTGAGTTTTCTGCTTTCGCTCGTTTCTTCCACTGCGTTTATGGGAAGTAAACACTCACCATCCCAGTGCTGGATATAAGATCGCTGAGGCAGTGGTTGACTTCCTGCAGTTTCGGAATGAGAACATTCATGCGACTCTGGTTGGCCTCAGTGAAGAAGTCCTATGAGGAAAGAAATACAATTTAAGATTTAATAAAATAATATGTGTTCCAGTTACAAACAATTACAAAATAACACAAAAAAGTGAAAATTCATTCATTCACATTTATTATTATTGTTATTATTTACGTTAAAAAATGTTTTTATTCAGTTTTTACCATTACCCTTTCTTTAAATTAGTCTAGTGCCTTACTAAGTCTGCACCTTGACAAAGTGACAGGAAACAGCTCCTCCAAGTGGCAGGGGAGCGCTATTGCATGCAAAACACACCAGATTTCACAATGTAATCTGGGTTTTTTTAACTGTCAATGCCTGTGTGTACTTTACAAAATTGAGTCACACGACAATGTACCAGAAAATCACGTGACTGCGGTGAGCCTAGAGCTTCAAATAAAACAAGCACAGCTAAAATATAGACAATATGTAAATAATAAAAATAGACGAATGAATGAAATCTGAAGTCACACATCGTATCATTTAAAACACTCTCGGTCCTTCCACAAATAATTCACTCACAGGATGACCACAGTTGACCTAAAAGTAGTAGCCCTGAGCTCACCGTGCAGTGGGAGCTGGGACCAATCTGCCGCTGCCTCTCAGTGACATTGTGGATTTGGCCCTGGTACCAGTCTCTGGCCCGCTCCACCACCTCCAGACCTGCCAGCAGAGTGTCCTTCTCCTGCTCCAGCTCTTTCATTTGCTTCAGCTGTGGGAGAGCAAAATTCAAAACAGTTAATGAGAATGAAAGAGAGGAAGGGTTTAGGGTGAAAGGGAAAACGGACAAAAGAGACGAAACATTTCTTTAAAGAAATTAACCATAGCAGACCAGATTCTAAGGAGACAAAAAAAAAAACTTCCTTCAGCCAGGAGAGACAAAAGACAAAAAACAAAAAAAGATTTCTGCTAAAAGTTCCATCCAACCGCTGACTACGGTCAGGTTTTCACCGCAGCATCTGCAGCGAGCGCTTTTGTGCCGATGGAAACAATGGCAACGCGGCAATTGTGTGGCGTTCGCTCCGTCCACCAACAATGTTCAGAGGAGCAATCAGTCCACTGTCATGGCAACTGCACAGCAACCTAGGAATGGGGCAAACAGGGGACCCACTTCAGCCACGGCTAACACAGTGTGTGTGTCTGTGTGAGAGAAAGGGTTTGTGTGTGTCTGTGTGGTAGTCAGTCACACACACACACACACACACACACACACACACACCTCTATTCTAAGGCTGTGGTTAAAGTTATGGTAAAATAATTCATGTTTTGGTTGATGGGCTGCACACACACGTGTGTGTGTGTGTGTGTTTCTTTGTTTGTGTGTGTGTGTGTGTGTGTGTGTGCCAGCATGACAGTATAGAGTTGTGCTGACTCGCCTGTCCACTGTGACACAGTGCTGGCCTCACTGCTGTCACTCAGCCACCTGGTGTGTCGTCGTTCCTCCACCCATCTGTACCACAGTTTTTTGTGCATATTTTAGTCAATTTGATTTTTTAAAGGTATTTTTTTAAGGTTACATTAGTTCAAAGCTATAGTGGGTGAAGTTCAACCGTCATGAATGGCTAGTTTTACACTTGTTTTTTTAAGACATAAATGTATTTTATGCTGCCTGTATTTGGCAACAATAATAAATAGGGATTGATATTCGCATAATTATGTAATATCTGTAAGAATCGTTGTCAGTTTTTCCTCCGATAATGAAAACACGATAACGCAATGCCTGGGTTTCGCCAAAATGATGTGTGCCCTAAAAATAGTTTTGGGGGAAAAAACGGCTGTACATTACAGTGAAAGTCACTAGAGGGCAGCATTGCACCTCATTTAATTAATCTCATACTCATATAGTGGTTTGTACAGAAAATATTACCATATTGACATCGGTTGATATTGGAATCGGAAATTCATTGTTTGAACAATATCAGCAAAAAGTCCCTAATAAAAAGTCATTCCACAAACACAGCCTTCATTTCACACCACACATGGTCTGAGGAAAAACAAAACAAAGAGAAAGTGGGAAGGAAGGGTGTGGGGGGGGGTCAAGCCAAGACAAGTGGGAGGTCAGGGGTCCAAGTTTAAAATGAAGCATGACCCGGTGTCAGGCTCCATGAATGTGGAGGAAGAGCCGGCATACAGAGCAGAGAACGAGAGGGAGAGAGGGAGAGACAAATGGCTGAAAAGTCATAGAGCTGTGTGTGTGTGTGTGTGTGTGTGTGTGTGTGTATACAGTGACTTACAATAACACGACACTCACGGTGCACGCTGTTTAACAAAACACACGCACAGAGATGAACGCCACGACCGCGCTCACATTTACACACACAGAGCTGCACAATGGGAGGACGGCAGGTCAGAGGAAACAGATCTGTTTCAGCTGCAGATGAGCAAACACACACACACACACACACACACACACACACACACACACACACACACACACTGAACATACACAGTTCCCCGACTACGCTGTTCCATTGTTTAACCTTTCAAATTCCAAAGAGACAAAACGAGACTGTGGTGAACTTTCTAATGTCTTCATCGCTTCATCAACAAAGACGTTTTTTTTTCTCAGCCCTGCAGTTCGCGTTTCTGTTAAAGTTTCACCAACAGTCATCTTTTTTTTCTGACTGTGTGCCAGCAGGTTGCATTAATTATTTCTCATCGTTTTTTTTATTAAAAAAAAAAAAAAAACAACTTGAAAAATGCCTTAGAGTCCACACTAAAATCTAGCTTTTTTTTCAGCTTTTGAAACCTGCTGATGAGCGAAAGACAAACGCTGCTGTCGATTAAGTTTTCATTCCAGCACCGCTCCACACCCTGGGGTTGGACCGTACACCCCCCCCCCACACACACACACACACACACACGGGTCTCTAAAGCAGCACCAGCACCAGCAGATGAAGAACTCCTCAGGACTCAAGGGAAAACTTCTAGCACAGAACTGTGTCCGAGAACAACTCTAGGACATCCCCCCCAGCCCCCTCGCCTCCCTCCCTCCCTCCCTCCCTCCTCTACTCACCCACAGGAAAAAGTGCAGAGCCTTGCTGCTGTACAGGCTGCTGCTGAGTGGGATGAAGACGGTGGTGGAGGCGGCCCCCACCCCC